ACCGTGGACGACTAGCAAGGGGAGCTGATGGGTCTGCCCATTGTAGAACACGTCTACGTTGGCACAGCCCAGCAGTGGAAGGGAATGTCCGGACCGCGTTCTCAGCTGCGTGTCGTCTTGCTGGAGAGCTAGCGCGTTCTCACGCCAAGTAGCGCGAAAAGTGTCCTCGCTGATGAGCGTACGTGCTGCTCCGGAATCCACCTCAAACCTGATAGGGCGCTGGTGTACCATAATTTCAGTTGTAATCTTCGGTCTCGTTCCGAGGTTCACAACGGCGTTTAAGTCATATAGTGCCGATGACGTTAGTGCTGTTCGGCTTGTATCTTGCGTCTGGCCCTCCTGTGCGTCGACATTGTTGTTCCGTTGCACTGAAGTCTTCGGTCCGAGCTGTTTGCGCTACGAGATGCATGCCCTTTCAGTGTGTCCCAGTTTTTGGCAAAAATTGCAGGTCGCTGTCTTGTATCGACATACCTGGGGATCTGTCGTCGCATCGCCAACAGCGCTGTGTCTTTCTGCTTGATTTCGCCTTAGACGTGGAATGACCTGACTGCTGACTGGTGTGATGCACCGGTTTGACGTTCCGTCGAATATCCCTCTGCTGGTGACCGGCGCTCTTCACTCGTTGGGCGATGTCGTAGGCTTTGGAGAAGGTGAGACCCGTCTCCGCGAACAGGCGTTGTTGTAGGCCTGCGTCACGCAGTCCGCACACAAAACGGTCACGCAACATAACGTCCAAGGGGAGCATAGAGGTGTTAGCAGGTGTGGCAGTCGATCCTCCCTCCTGCGCAGTAGCTGCAGCTGTCGCGGTCAACGTCCCGAAATTGCAGTCATCAGCGAGCTTTTTGAGAGCCGCTACGTATTCGGCCACTTTTTCGCCTTCCAGTTGGTCTCGCCGTTGGAAGCGGGCTCGACAGTAGACCTCCGATGGCCTTGGGTCATAGTGCTCTTGTAGCGCTGCTACGATGTCGTCGTAGTCAACGGCTGCTGGAGTGCGTGGCTGAATCAGGGCACAAACTGTGTCGTATGTCTGCTCCCCACACAGCGTTAGCAGGTTGGCCCTCTTCATTGCTGCATCAGTGATGTTGTTAGCCTCGAAGTAAAATTGCAGGCGTCCAAACCACGATGACTATGATGAGACGTTGAATTCGGGTAGCCGATTTGGGAGCCCGTGCGTAGCCATAGCTTGTAGCTTGTCAATATCGTTGCGTAGCGTTGGTCCAAATCCACTTCCTCGTCGCCACTGTTATGTCTGGTGTTGTCGTCGGCCCATAGACGTACGCGTTGGTCGCGGTAGTCCAAAAAGCTCAGACAGCCTCGAACGGTTAAAAACAAGTTTATTCCTATTCGGATGGAGGCGGCGGCCGAACTGCCGGGGGAAACGACGGTGGCTCGTTTCTGCCGAGCGGGGGAAGGGGAGGAGTCAACTTCTGGAAGCAGTTTCAGCAACCGGTCCTTCGCGGGTTCAAAGGCTCGCTCGTGACACAGGGGTGCTTGGAACACAACAGGTTCCTTATTTTTGTGCGAGCTAGCGGAGTTCAATGACTTTTGCTTCTGGTGTGCATTGAAAGAGAACGTGTGTCTGCGTTTTATGCCTATCTCGAAGTGACAGTAACAAATAGCAATGTCGCGCGAAGAACGGCAGGCAGCCCGAAACTTGCGGCGCGTACCTCAAACAGAACTCACGCACGAATTGAGCATATACAGGATGAATTCGGACAAACAGCTGTCACAGTTTTTACTTGGTGTGTGAGCAGCTCGGTTCTTTCGTAAACACGGCCACGGTAGCGATCGAATTTAGGTTGGTGCTCTCTTCAACTACTGTAATTTCAAAGCAAACTTGCGTTGGAAGCACTAGATGTACAAAGCACTCAAAGCCCGAGATATGCGCGTGCGCGAGTGAGCCACTACGCTAAAGAACATCTAACGCACTTTGGCCACGCCGACCACGCTATGTGGACCCGCGAGGGAGCCTTCATTGGGCGCGCACCTCGGAGCAGGCGCGCACATGCACAGCGACGCGTGGCCTAGCATGGCACAACGACCTTTGGAGCGCGCCCGCCCAACGTGCGCCCGTCGTGCCATATCGCTACTTATTATTAAAACGTGCTGAAGTTTCCGATATCTGAGAGCTAACAGCAGTACATGGTGTATATAAATGGTTCTCCGTTAACATGTTGGAGGAGGATTGCTCTGTGGTTTAGTGATTAGTGTCGCACACTGTGGAGCGCAAGGTCGCTGTTTCGGCGCCCCTCCACGGCACTTTTTCTTCTCGTTTTTTTTTTTTACTTTGCAGTCTTTGCAATCTTTAATTTGCATTCCGTGACGGAAATACGTCATAGAGCCGTGGTGGACCCCGGCATAAAACACTTTCGTGTTAAAAAAAAAAAAAGACGGAAATAATGCGGCACTTCACTTATCTTGTTTTTCATAAAAAATGTAGTAGAAAACGACCCACAAGAGCTGCAGCGACCAATGTTTCTGAGTGCGAGTGTGGAACATATGACTGCAAGAGAGAGAGAAAAGAATGTAAGAAGGAACCGTCGTGGAAACATTGGGAAGGTCAAGCAATATTCTGTCGTCTGCAAATACACTTGTAAATATTGGTTAGAGAAAGAAAGGAGAAAGAGAGAACCAGAGAAGAAAGACAGGAAGGTTAACCAAGCTTTGGCTCGGTTGGCTGCCCCACACTTGAGATTAGGGAAAAGGGAGAATGATAGAGAGGAAAGGATAAAAGATGAACACTAAGAAATAGATAGATTAGCACAATTGTATAGCGTAGTTTCAATAAGAAGAAAGAAATAATTAAGAGTAATTAATAGGACAAACAATAGGATGCAATAATATGGATGTTCTTGTCCAAAGCAATTAGGTAATAAAGTGTCACTACTCCCCAACGAGAATCGCCACCTTCCCGTCAGAATAAAACCAACCCAATCCTCACGCTTCCCACAAGTGGTAGCAAGGCGAATCTTGGCTCAAGAGTGTTGTGGCTCGGGCGAGTTATGGTTGCCCATGGAGATAGCTTGTATTAGGGCGGCAAATATGAAAACAGGAAAAGACGACACAGACGTCAAGGAAGGTAGGCGCTCAATGTGAACTCGTGTACAGAACTTGCCGGTAGATTCGCACTTGGCGGTACAGCTCAGAACGTATAATCTTGCATATCACCTCTCAGGAGGCTTCATTCTGTCACCAGGACACTCGTCTAGGATCTGTGTAAAACGGCGTTGTCCTTTTTCAACGTAAGGTTAGTCTTCTGCCGTACGCATAGGTCGGTGAACTCACTCATGAGTCGAATCACTCGGACTCACACTCAGACCGAGCCGTGAGTCTTTGTCTGAGTGAGTCCGGGTGAGTAATAATTTGGTGAGTTTGAGTCCGAGTGAATCAGGGCCAGAAAAATGTTTGTGAGTCTGGGTCCGAGTGAGTCCAAAGCGCCAGATATGTTTCATGAGTGAGTTTGAGTGAGTTGCACACTTTCTGCTTACCTATGACGCTATGCATTCGCCATGACACGTGGCCCATTCGCCCCGGTTCACGCAGCGATGCTTCCGCTGAAATGGGAATTTCCACCGCGGCAGAGTAAGTTCTGTCGCGGTGCTCGTCGCTTCTTCTTCTGTCGGATGAAATGCAAGACGCAGGTGACCGTCAAGGAGGAGGCCGACACCACGACGGGAGGCCAGTGACGCCGAAAGTCGCACAGCTTGTATACCGTCGATACTCGGTCATCCACTGCACCAGCTACCTCAAGTCGTGGGCACCCGCCAAGCTCAGTTTGCCCGAACACGCCCTAGCGGATGACAGCGAAGGGTGCGCAGAATGCGCAAGCGCATTATAACTTAGAAGGGTGGCGGAGTGGGCCAGTTGGTATGGTAGCGCTCGTCCTTGTTTCTCTACTTGTCCTAGTCGTCAGTTCACACCATACCAATCATCATGAGTCCATCATCTTTCTTTCCTTGTTGCTGTAAGCTGTCAGATTGAATACGCAACTATGTACATATAAAATATGCCGCTTGCAAGAAGACACACTGCACATGCCCTCCTCCTACACTCCAATAATTTACCAAACAGGGGGGGGGGGGGGACATGGCATGTATGGACGACATCGCTCGAGTCACGCTCCTCTTCCTACCCCTCTCTAGAAAGTTGACAAAGATATTTGGGGAAGTACGCAGCGAGAAAGAGACGACATCATGAAAACCTTGACTGGGCCTGTTCATATAACACTGTCTGGAGAAGTTTTCAGAGAATGGGCAAGAAAGATAAAGAAATCGCATTCGCAAGACTCGCACTAGAAATAAGCCAAAAGCGTTGATGGAGATGGCTGTGGTGGTGGGGGTGTTGCAGATCTGGCCGGTAATCTCTCCTCCTCAGTGTCTCTTTTCACGTATTATACTTCACCGGTACTTTCGAGTTTCACTTGGGCTAGTGTTTGGCAGATAAGATGAAAGTAATTGCGTCTCTCATAATCATATGGTGGTTTTGGGACGTTAAACTCCACATACCAAATCAAATCAAGATGAAAGTAATTACGGACATTTCCTAACGAACCACCCGTTTACCTTTGGGAAACAAATCTGTTCATTAGAAGGTCGAGGACACCATGCATGACGTGACCATCGCAGACTGCACCTACTCATTTCGCTTCCCGCGGCGTCGAAGAAATAAAATTAATATTACTTGCGGAGTTTCACACTCAATGTACGATAAATTTGCACTGTGTAGAGCTATGCAGCGGTATTGTATTTGGCTCTAACTTCGGAATCTGCAACTTGAGCACGAGGCAGAGTTACGGGTAGTGGGCGAGAGCGAGGTCTTCATTGTGCCACATTTCTCGCGTGATGGTTCGTTAACGTTTAACAAGATATCAGTACTTCGATTTCCTTTGAACCTTCTGTGCGCAAGCTCTTTGGTGTGATATATACGCTACGTTGACACCTCAGGGGTCTCTTATTCGGGGTGCCACGAAATAAACTCTGCACGTTGTTTTCTAGGTGCAACCTGAGCTGCTTGGTGGCTGTGGGCAGGGTGCACGCAGATTTGGCCAGCAGCCCCGCGACAAGGACTGCCCTCGATGCCGAGGCGGTACAGTTCGTCTCTAGGCACACGGCCGACGAGAAGTTTCTTTTCATAAACAAGAAGTGAGTGCCACTCAAGATTTCCCATCGATAACGTCACCCTCGCATTACTGTAAACACTGTCCCAGTGGAACATTAACTCCAGTATTGGTTGCAGAAAATACTGCCTCTTTCAGTATCTTTTATATGCGAAGCATTTCTTAGTGAACTTCGGTGATCTTAGCGAAATTCAGCGGCTTTGAACGTATCTGTCTGTCTGTCTGTCTGTCTGTCTGTCTGTCTGTCTGTCTGTCTGTCTGTCTGTCTGTCTGTCTGTCTGTCTGTCTGTCTGTCTGTCTGTCTGTCTGTCTGTCTGTCTGTCTGTCTGTCTGTCTGTCTGTCTGTCTGTCTGTCTGTCTGTCTGTCACTTACTTTATTGCGGACCGCTTGCTGACTTCGCGTACAGCGGCTCGCAGTAATCAAGCTTAACGACCGCGAAGGGGCTGGTTTCCGTGGGGACTGTCTCCACTGTAGTTTTCCAGCGTTCGCACATTCTACATTGAAAAGTGATCCTCTTCACGGTTTGGCGCCCTCTCAATAATCAGAAACACTCTCTAAGCTCAGTGAGGGTTGCTTCAGCACCACCGTGGATCGTACGCATATGTGCTGCCTAAACAAGCAAGCTGGTGAGTGTATGGTCGTTTGATAGTAAAATGGGATGACGAATGTCCTGTTCAGCGTGCCGCCCACGAACGCGAAGTAGGCCGTCCTCATCCATAAACGGGCACAAACTAAGTACAGGGGATGTTGAAGGTAACGGCAGACCTTTCTGAAATTGGGAACGAGTCTTCCTGCACTATATGCAAGCAATAATGCTCAGCTTGAAATAATTCATCTGCCGTCACAGGGCCAGACGCTGATAAGAAGCATCTTGCGCGGCGGCTGAAATTCTAGATCCATGCAGTTATTCTTTGCAGTCTTGCTAATAGCTGTAGTTTTCCAGGGGCACGACACCATGGCGAACATTATTGGTGGATGAACAACAGACAGATGTAATTTCTGCGGAAAATCCTCGATTATTCATCGGTTGCTTTGGTTCGATGAACAGCATTTTGTCGTTTGATTCGTTGACGTCTATGCCTTCGTAAGACCAGGTTTTGTCACCCAGCCAGCACAGCCAGGTTAAGCCATGCCTCCACTTGGATGATTTGGTAACATCCGAAAGTGATAAACATCGAGTGATGACATCGGCGGGATTTTCCTTGCTGCTGCAGTGAAACCATTGGGAAGGTCTGGTATGCTGCTGAATTTCGGCGACACGTTGTGCTACAAATGGTTGCAACTTGGTCGCTGAACTCTTTATCCAGTTTAGCGCCGCAAGCGAGTCCGTCTAAAAAGCAACAGTGGCATGTTGGAAAAAAGGGACCTTTTTGCACGTAGCGTATAAGCCGCACCACGATGGTTCCTGCCAGGAGCTCCAGGCGTGGAAGCGATACTATTTCAAAGGAGCAAATCAGCCCTTGCTGATCAAGAGTCGTGTGAAGCACGTTTCGGGTGGCGAGTTCACTCATACATAAACGCAAGCACCGTATGCCCTAGGGCTGGCATCTGCGCAGATGTGCAGCTCAAATAAAAATGGCTTATTGTTGTCTCTTAAGATTATATATCGTGGGATAGTGACGGACGAGTCGGACAGCTCAGAACACTAACTATTCCATTCGGCCTGTTCACCTTCAGGCATACTGGCATCCCGTGCAAGATTTTTCTTCCATAGATTCTAAAGTACCATTTTAGCCTTTATGGTGAACGGAGTGAGGTAACCCAGTGGATCGTATACTCTGGCCAAGGTACAGCACGTTTGGAGCCAGCTACCAAACGTGCTGTACGTTTGGTAGCTGGCTTTCTGGCGGTAAACATAGCTGTGTGCTCAGTCATCAGGATAAGGTGATCACCTGAACGTTTCCAGGGAACACCTAAAACCTTCATCATTAGATTGTCTCCAGAGTCATTTGCGATGGCGCAGCTGTCACGTTACGAATCTTCTTCAACTAGTCGCAATTTGAGGCCCACTTGCGAATTTTCATGCTTGCCTCGTATAATATTTGTTTGGTTTCTTCATATACCTTCATTGCCACCTGCGTGCTGGGTAGCCCAATGATAAGATGATCTACATAGAACGCGTGCTCCAGTAAGGCTACGGTTTCTGGATAGTTCTGCTGACAAGATAACAGGTGATGACGAATTGTAGCCGCCAAAGGAAACGGGCTTGATGCAGCTCCAAACTGTACTCTGCTCATCCTCCAAGTTGTAATCGGTGGCATGGGCTCTTTCTTAGTTCGCCGTCGTTCCAGCCACAAAAGCCTCAAAAGGTCGTGATCTTCGGTCCGAATCAACAGCTGAAGGTATGCCTTCTTTATGTCAGCTGCAAAAACGACAGGGGGGCAGTGAAAGTTCAGTAGTAGCTGGACAATGTCCACACCGAGTTTTATGCCCTTCGATAGGACATCGTTGAGGCAGGGACGACCAGCTTCATGTGATGACGCATCTAACACCACTCGAAGCTTCGTTCTGACGGCGTCCCGACAAACTACTACGTGATGCGGCATATAGTACACATTATCTCCGACTAACTGCTCTTCTTGCCCCTTCCCAGCATGTCCGTCAACGAAATATGCGGTAATAGCCAGGTCGTATTTCTCTAGTAACGTTGGCTGCTCTCGGAAACAGTTGATTTGACGTTGTAGTCACTGTTCTGACAGTTGGCGATTACTGTTTCTGTCTGGTAGTCCTGACTGTTTCACCATGGGTGGCACCTGATAACGTCTACCTTGCTTCATTATGTAGCGCTCAAATGCGGAGAGCTGCGCGTCAATCTCCAACGGTTGCGAATAGTTTCCATCGATTCCGACGGCATCAAGGCGCCCCATCGACGATACGTCTATGTCTGGTGGAGAAGAATTGCGGCTTGATATGAACATTGCGCGAGACAGGTACTTGATGTGCGACGATGAGGGTCCTTGTACCATCCATGCAAACGTTGTTTTAATCGCTGTTAGCGTCTCGTTGACGCGGTCAATCTTGTCGGTGGTCACCTTCCAATAGGCGTCAAATCCTATCAGCACGGTTATGTCGCCTTCTTGCCACGTATTCGATTGACATGCGTCAGCCACATGGTACTCCTTTTCGAGGAGCGTCTGCAAGATATAGTGTTCTAGCGGTGGACTCGTTACGGAGCAGAACTCTGGAATCGTCAAGGCTTCTAACTCCACTTCAGCATCGCTAAATCGACTGTGCAGCCGCACGGAGACACGGTCGGTGCAGAGTCTTCTCTGAGCCTTGGAGCTTTCAAATGTCATTATTGAAAGTTCTTCCCTTCCAATGACAGAACAATGAAAGATTCTGGCCGTGCCTGCGCGAATATAGTTGTGCTGGCTACCACTGTACAACAGAACCAGAACGAGGAGGCGTCAATTTTCTGACCTTGCCCATATGTGCTCCGTCTGCAATAGTACAGCCGTGCATCCGACGTGCGTGCTTTGAGCGGTTGTAATGGTTCGAAGCCTTGGCGAAGGGAGTCTTCCCAATGCAACGGATTAAGCAGCAGGCACTGGGTCCTGGACGATGGGTCTGGACAGGTCGCACATAATGGTCAGGTGGTGACGACGGCAGGAGCCACAAGTGAGACTGATGGCTTTTTCGCATGCCCTTGTGATGTGGTTGCTAGTACCGCAGCGGAAACAGCAGTTGTTATTGCGTAGCCTCACTCGCTTTTCGTCCACTGACAGATTGGCAGTGCAGGACATAATGCTGTGCTCTTGGCGGTTGCAAAGTGGGCCGACTTGATTGATTGATGCAGTGGAACCCATAAGAGCTGCAGGCGATAGAATGAATTCCATGCCGTCTGAGCTTTCTGTCGCCATGCTGTCTTCACCTTCGTAGGAGCGGCGACGTGGTTGCAGGCGACCTTCCTCCCGCACTTCTACTTGGATGCGAATAAATGTCAACAGGTCCTTCACTCTGCGTATTCTGTCTTCGGAAGTCTCCGTACAACTATTGGCGTGGTCATCCTCTTTCATCCTTTGGTGGTACATGATAGCCAGATCGTTTGGCAAGCAGCGCATCATAACCCGATTCAGTACCACGATGTATTGATCCGGGGACTCGCCGAGGCCATCTAATGTGCTCACTCGGAACAGCACATTGTCGTGAAATGTGCGAAGTTTGGCAACTTCTGATGAGCTCTTCAAAGAACGGTCAATGCCAAAAGATGATCCACGTGCTCATTGATGAGGAGATCTCGCCGTCCGAACCGATCCGTGAGCGTTTAAATAGCGAAGTCGTAATTCTGCTCGGCTAACCGGATTCCTTCGATTGACCGTTCAGGGCTGCCAGTTAAGTACGTAAGTAAATACTTGAATTTTTCGATGCATGGTATGTCAGGGTTTTAGTGGATCCTGGCGTCGTAATGATCCTAAGAGACCTGCCAGTCGCGCAGGTTGTCGTCGAAGGTAGGTATCTGTAACCTGGACAGTACAACCGATCTGTGACGTGGCTCTCTCACATGGTCCGGAACATCGACGGATCTCGGGAAGCCTGCGTTGCTCGATCCTGATACGGAACCTTCAGCATGCGTCGTGGTAGCTTGCTGATGACCTTGCAACCAGTACTTTGCGCGCGCGATAGCGTTGCCGATCTTGTCGCTATAATCCTGCGCCGTTTCGGCTTCGCCGTCAACATCATCTTCACCTGTTAGCGGAAGAATTGCGTCGTCCAGTCTCGACAATGTAAGCTCCTTGTCCTTGAGATAGTCAAGGTGCACGTGAACTTCCGGGAGATCAAGATCCGTTTGCCGCAGACGATCCGTGAGCTGGGTTAGGGCTAGCGTGACGCCAGCCCTGAGTGCACCACGCTTCCTCCGCAGCTGGTCCAAGCTCGCCATGGCCGTGACGTGAAGGCGTCTCTTGAGGGGCCAAATATATGTTACGAAACGACTGGCTCCCAAACCGTAAGAGGCAGGCAGGCAGGCAGGCAGGCAGGCAGGCGGGCAGGCGGGCAGGCGGGCAGGCGGGCGGGCGGGCGGACGG